GCTGAGTTGATTAAGGCAACTGTTCCCCTCGATAAAGTCGGACTGATTGAACTCATCAATAATTTTCTGTTTTGAAGCTAACAATGTCTTGAACAGACACAAAGAGACCGAGATGTATGATTCGCACGTTTCGACTGAGCATCCCTACCGAATAGGGCTGGAAATAATGATCTCATTAAAGACAGGTCACGTTGTTAGTCTCATCAATGATAGAGGTGCACAGATAACGTGCATTACAATTACTCGAAAATAGGCCAGCAAAGCATCAGAAGAAATTTGCTTTAAAAGAGAAGGCTGTGGAATCATTTTGTCTGGCGTCGTTTCTAAGTAAATGAGAATTGTAGCTATAATTTCACTGAAGGTGTAAGATCAAGCCTTAGAGCCCAGAACTAATGCAAAGCTGAAATTTTTGCCCTGTGTTGGAGCACAACAATATTGGTCCATGGGGTACCATGGTAACTCAGTATCCTACAATCAACGCAGTCACACAGGCTTTGTACGCAGGAATCAGCAGTCTTACTGTCTGCTTGCAAGCTTCAGCCCAAACAGAGATAAGCGATCACTCCGCATTCTAGACAATCCGCACAACAGCGGAAGCATTTTCAGAAACTGCTTAACGAAGCAGTCAAAACACCAGTTTTTCATACAAAGCTGGCTCCAGGCTCTCGGCACCATTATAAAGTAGGTCACACGTGGTGTACATTAGTTTCGGCAAACAAAAAATGCGCGCGTATTACATATCCGTGGAGAAGCGTCACGGACGACGACGTACGGGGAGCAACTTGGTACGGAACCGGTACATATGAAGTTCCGGTTTTATACACCAAACTGTATTTATAAAAACAAAACTGTTTTTACTTGCACGACGTTTGATGTATCGTTTGTTCGGATCGCAATACCTTTGAGTTAAATTTGGGGTGACTGAATGTTGTTTTTGAAGAAATCAACGCCACAGATTTTGCTATGTTGCTGCGCGCACCATCACGTATGGATTTGCGAGTTATGCCGAAACTAAATTATTTTTTGTAACCTATATAAAGGCTGCTTTTCATTATGTACGTTTTTTGGATGTGTCGCGTACACGATGCGTTCATGCGTTAAATGGACACAAAAATTGACTCCATAAACATGACACACGTGGGCGTTGCGTTCGGCCGGATACGCTTTGCTTGGTGCAAGTGTTGACGCGCATGTGGAAAGGCGCCTTTATACGTACCCGCGTACGTCCTGTGTCATGCGGATACGCGCACGGATACGAACGAATTAACTTGGACGCCAAAACTGTCTAATATCACACGCAGACCAGTCCATAGCTTATTCATAGTTTATAGCACTAATCGAAAAACCTCTCACCCAGGGAAGTGTACAGTTCAATTTCTCTCCCAAAGCATGTACCCGTAGTCAACGCTACTCTGCGTTTAGTCAGCGTCTAACTTCTCTGGACTACATCGATTCTTGACCGGGACTTCCTTTTGGGTCCTTAGTGTGAACCAGCTATTAACGTGCTATATTACCCTGTTATGGGACACCTTTGGGAATACTTTTAACTTACTGGTAGATTTCTATGGCTTGTTAGAGGTCTTAAATCTCAATTCAGGAAAGGCAGTAATTATGGCCTTGGATATGTCTCACGTTACATTACTGTATGCAGGCACATTCTAATAATGATAATCGCCCGTCACTTTAAATCCCCGTTTAATTTGTCAAATTTTAAGCCGCAACGGACGCTCAGGTCTTCCGTGTGAGCGAGTACCTAACGAATTCAAACGCGACCACCCAATTAACGCCGCTGACAACAGCGCGTAGCGCAGGTGTGGGGCACGGCAGACATTGCCTGGCGTTGATGTGTATCCACGAGCTTGTCGACGCGCGGTGTCCCCGTATACACCGACAATCGGCTCGACGATATCCTGAGTTCAATTATTCAGGCGGGCTGAAACTGGAGAACGTGACGGAACCACTCGTCAGGATGGAAAAAAAACACAAGCAGAATTTTGCTATTAACTTAATGGCTAATCAGCTAAAAGGGAAAGCGATAGCTAGAATTAAGCTAGCCCCTCCATGGAGATAGGAAGATTGTGCCATTCCTGAAATTATTGCAAGGTAGAGACAGCAGAGGCAGGAGAGAGGATGGGCTTGTCAAATCCACTTCCAGTCAATTAACACCCATCTTCCAATGCTTGTTGAATGAACATTCGCTTTCATCACCATTAAAATCTACTCAAATAAAAGAATAATTAAGTCAGCGATACCGCTCACCAACCACAACCAATCGACCAACCAACGGATCTAGTAACCAAGGACCGAGCCTATAAGCCACCCAGTCAACTCCTCATTTTCACACTTGCATGTTCTTGTGTGCCCTATATATCACCATCAAAAACACGATGTGGCCACAACTAACCAACGTTTATCATCAACCAGACCACAGTGACCGCGGAGGTAGAGACCAACGGACCAACAGATATAGTAAAGATGGTAACGGTGCAACAACTGAGTCGACAAAAGTCGACCTTGTCTGTCCAGCGTTGCGAAGACGAGCACCGCCGTACACCCGGTGTCGATTAGATTTTGCGAGGTTAATGTTTTTGCTTATCACGATGCATAAGATGAATAATTAAGGAGAGCCGTCACTTCAGCTTTTCATTTCGTTCGCGATACATTACCAGCAGCTCCTGGGTGGAACTCCCCTGGGGGACGGGGCAAGCATTCTCGACCCCCCCAGTCGATTTCCCGTGGCTCATGAATACCGAGAGCCCCCCGCCCTTGAAACTCGCTGCTGTCAGGGTAAAGCGTGAGTGGCTAGCCCGAGCCACACCGAGTAGGCCGAGGCCCCAGCTCAGCGTAGGAAAAAAAGTGTCGCTCCCTTGTTCATGTATTTGCAATCAGCATTTACCAAATCGATCATTTCCCCTGGGCTGCATGTGAAGAGGGGAAAAAGCCCGACATTTTCCGTCTCATTTGCACCGTGTTAATCCACTCACTACACTGTCCAAAAGTATCAGTCTCGGAATAACTCTGTCGTTCCTGGGACAAAACTCTGCGACACACTCCATTTTGCCTTGTCGTAGACTGACTTGTAATTGCCTACAACGGGATCGGAGTGTTAAATGCTGGATTAAAAAAAAGTGATAATCGATGGCAACAGTTCCCCCAAGCTGTATTTATTTCCTTCATTACGACCCGCGCGTTTCGTGACCGCTGCACGGCAAAAGTGTCGCAAGCAGCCGTCTGACGACTGTGACACTCGCGGGCAAATTATATGCACCATGTACGCCTGGAAAATGTAACGGATGAGAAATGTTTCCCGTGTTATGTCCACGCGTGGATTTCATACAGCGAAGCGAGCATTTCTGCCTCGAAAGAGCATTGTATGAGGAGATTTCCCGTGAAATCCACCACTGGCGATAAACCAGACAGACAACAACATGCCTGGTTTGATTCATAATTTATTCATTAGCAAAACGATACAATGTCAGCCATGCACCACATCCATACAGCGTCACTGCGCTGTTTGAACCAAGCGCGCCTTTAGCGCCTTTTAATTCCTAATTTCCCCGAGCGTGCGGTTAGCGCTCAACTCTCCAGCCAGCTGGCTCTATTGCTGCCGCACTACCACGAATTTTGTTTTAAAAATATGTAACTAGCAGCATTCACGTCTGAGATGTGGAGTTTGCGGGCCGGGTGGTGGAGTCCACGGCATACACTTCCAGCCAAGCCTCGCCGCCATAATCTGCCGCACCCCAGGCGTTCCCAATAGGAGCCGGCTACACATTCACGCTGTGCTGGCCTGTCAGACATGCTCGGAACGTAAAGTAATATGCGTCTCGTTGAAATATCATAACAGCCTTCAATGGGAACCTGAGTGCATGTGTTAAGACGAAATGAAAGGAAAAAGGGAGATAATATCAAGGACTGCACTAATAATTGTTTCAAGTAAACTTTTCAAACGCATCCAGTCTTGTAAGGTAATTTTGACAAATACAAGTACCAACCCAACTTACATAGACATGAATGTGTTCCCAGAATAGCTATTTTTAATGCAAAGCCTTATGCTTTCACCAAAGATATTGAAAATAAGATGAGGAAATATGACGGGTGCCTAATACCACTGAAAACATGAGAACTGAAGGAAATTGTTGATGGCGCATTATGGGACCACTGCATTTGTCAGAAAACACATTTAGCAAGGTACTAAGAAAATGCATTGTCACATAAGATTTGTTTGTTTATTTCCATACAACACAGATGTATTAAGATTAATAGATAACAGATATAATAAATAACAGATAACTGATAGATTGAATTATTCTGTTGGACAGGCTCTTGTCAATGAGGAACTGGAACTCGATTTTGTTGGCTGTTACAGAAATAGACGATGGTCGAAAGGTTTAACAAAAACAGACATGAGAATTAAGAACGTTCATGAAATCAACTTTCCCCTTTAAGATTAAAAACAGCATAGGCCTAAAATTCTTTTAAGACAAATAGATCTTGGAAGATTGTGCCGATAGGTCGTCGTGTCTTTTAAGAGTGTCGTGATGTTGAGATTGCACAGTAAAAAAAACACACACCTTAGGGAAAAACCTAAGCAGACCAATATATAAGTCCGCACATGAATGAGTTCGGTCTTTTCAGTGACACCAAGCCGATTAAACAGCTGCGTGCGCATACTGCACCGTGCATACGTAGTACGCATCTGCAGCCGGCTGTCACGCAAGCGCCGCGGGTATAGGCTACTGCAGTTTGTGCATGAGCGTCAAAAGGTCCGAACGCAATCGATGTGTCATGATCACATACACACTGCGGCGAGTCTCGTGCGCGGGTGATAAGTATGAACCTGGAGAATGTACTCGGCACGTGCATCGCACCGGGGTTGGTGTTGAGGCTCTCTGTCAGGTGCGAGGCCCGTGGCACCTTCTCACCTTTGCATTAGGGCCCACACCTTGTGTGCACAAGCTCATTTCTAATCACTCTCTTTTTCTGTGCATCTGACGCAGTTCATCTTTCAACCTAGAAGAGTGATGCCACTCTCGTCCGGGACGGAGTTCTTTTGACCGGGACGACTGGAGTTTAACGCGTGCACACATACGGAGCTGGGAGATTTTGTTTAGCGCGGGGCAAGATGTTATAATTACGGGCCAGCGAATCGCGCCGTCGGTGGGATGAGCTGCCTTACAAACAGCACGGCGGAAGCATCATACACATCCTAGGATGTACAGCCAGACACACAGCCGACCTAAGTAGGCGGAGTGAAACGAACGCTTTCCTTTCATCTCGCTGAAAGCTGGAAATGGAGTAATTATGGCACTGACGGCGACTGGAGATAACGGATCGCGAGTTGTGCGTTTTTCTTCATGCCATTGGTCTTTAATATTACAAGTTTGTCTCTCGTCTACGTTATAGAATTTGGTTTGCATCGCTGTTCACAGCATGTACGTTAGTGAGAGAGCGTAAATGGTGAACTGACTTTTGAATGAATTTTGAATTTTGAAAATGAAATTAAGTGTATTCTGACAGAAATAGTGATTGCAGAAAGAAAACAAGAACCTACGTAGCAGATCACACTCTCTGAGAGAGAAAAACAAACCGTGTCGACAAAAACAACCGTCACTGAATGTTATCGTAACCGAAACATGTTCACGATGCTGCCCCGGGTACAAGTGGTGCTGCTGGCGGTATTTGTGGTGGTGGCCGTGGGGGCGGAGACAGATTCCGCGTGCCCTGCGGGTTGCAGATGTAACGATATCATGCTGACTGTGAACTGCACCAATTCGGGCCTTCGGCGCATACCGGACAACCTGCCGAGCGAGTACCGTGTGTTCAGCTTCGACAACAACGACTTGAACGTCATCTACGGCCAGGCGTTCTCTCGGGCCACGGCGACCCGGTATCTGTCGCTGTCGCGCTGCAACATCATCAAAATCCAGGACGGGGCTTTCGAATTCATTTACAACGTCAGCCAGCTGTTTCTGGCAGGGAACCGACTGGACTCAGTGCCGAGGGAGGTCCGCAACCTGAGTCAACTGCAGTTGCTGGACTTGACCGACAACAGCATCGATCGCCTGGCCAAGTACAGTTTCTACGGGCTGACCAGGTTGCAGACGCTCTTGCTGGACGACAACAACATCACGGTGCTTTCTAAGGGCTGCATGAGCGATGCCAATCCTCTGCGCTTGCTGTCGCTGAGGAGGAACGGCATCCACACCGTCAAGCCGGGGTCCTTCCACTGTCTGGACAGTCTGGAGGAGTTGTACCTCTCCGACAACTCCTTTGCGAATCTGCCTTACGGATGGCTGGTGGGCCTTTTCAACCTCCGAGTGCTGGACATGAGAAGGGCTTACTCGGCCAATGTGGTGTACGACCAAATGCCGGAGGGGAACACCACCAAGGGCTGGCTCTTCCCCGGGCTGTCACCGCTGCTGGAGAGCTTGAATCTGGCCGAGAACGGACTCACTAATTTGGAGTTCAACGCGTTTCTGCCCCTGGAGGAACTGGTCAAGCTGGATCTGAGCGTGAACCAGCTCATGGAGCTGCCGCTAGGCGTGTTCTCCCATCTGAGGAAATTGAGGCGTCTCGACCTGAGTTACAACGTACTGACGAACTTGACCGATTATCTTTTCCCAGAGGGCTCAGATCTGGAGTATTTCAATCTTGGCAACAACCTCTTTGAGAAATTACAACCAGACCCCTTCAAGAATCTACAGAACCTAAAATATTTGGGATTGCAGCGAAATATGCTGAATGAAATCGAGTTCCTTCTGCAGACAAGCCTTCCCAATCTACGAGAACTGAACCTCGCCTCCAACGCAATCCGCAACGTCTCTGGCGTTGGCTTCACAGCCTTCAAGAGCCTACGGAAACTTTACATGCAAGAAAATCGACTGAGAGAGGTTCCAAACTTGCGCAATTTAGCGTTTTTGACTCACCTAAACTTGTCGTGGAACGGCATTACTTACGTGGCACCCGACGCCTTCGTCGGTACCAATTTGAAGGAGATCGACCTGAGGAATAACGATATCACCACGTTGGATCCGAAGACACTGGAGGGGCTCCCACGACTGGGCGCTGTGCGACTCGGGGATAACCCGTGGAGATGCGACTGCGAGCTGGAATGGTTCAGCCAGGCCTTCGTCAGCACAGACTGGGGGCGGGAGTTTGACGTCGTCACCTGCGACTGGCCTCCCAGCAGAAAGGATGCCAATGTGGTGTTTCTGAACGAGGAAATGCAGTGCACGTCTTACCCACCGCCAGCGTCCGTTATCGTCCTGGTCGTCATCTGGATCGTCATACTGCTCATCGTGGCCACAGCCATTCTGGTGCGGACCTACAAGATCCATCGGATACGCTCACGGCGCCGTCAGAAGGAGGACACTGCCGAACAGGATCGGTTGCAGCCCCCGAATCCCGACCCTCCGCGCCCGGATCAGCAGGCGTCGCTGCCGGCGCCACAACCACCCAAGCAACGGCCGGATCCAGGCAAGGGAAAGGAGAAAGGGAAGGGTAAAAGTAAGCAAGGCCAAAAATCCAAGGTTATCGAGATGAAGGACATGAAATCTATGAATGGGCTCAAGGTGAAGCCTTTCGATCGGGAATTTTACGTGTAAATAATGAAAGCCAAGATTACTTCATGTTGTAAAATAATTTGCACTTAGCACGGGTATTATTTTTCAGAGGAATGCTTTCAAAATGTTCAAGTATGAAGTATGTGCCATCAGCTTAACAAAGGCGTCATTTGCCTATTTCTGAAAAATTTCACTAGGATATTGCGTGACCAAAATAAAAAAAAAATGATTTAGGAAAACACGCGGAAGGCGTATTAACCAAACTTTACATTTGCACAGTCATGATCAGTGTTCGTCCACGCTTCAGGTATCAGAGTACGTATGTTACCAAGAAAGCTGATATTCATAGTAATCATAACAACTGTGCAGGCTATTTGCATGGTTGTGCAAGTTGAAATCAATCTCTGTTGGTCCTCGGGCATCAGAGAAAGGCTCACAAAGTTATTCCGTATGATGGGGTATCGTAAGTTTCCGGCAGCTTCACGCCAGAAATATTGATGCGGAAGTTGAACCTATAGTAGCAGTCCGATTAGCATCATCCACTTTTCCTCAATACTGTCCAAGCATGTTCTCTTGTCAATATATAAAATCGTAAGTTTTGTGAATTTGCAAAGAATTTATACGGGGCGCAAGAGGGGCTCGATGGGGGCTATCCCACCCCCGAGCCCATTTGCTTTTTTTGAAAAATTGGAGAAGGGTGACTTTTTCGTCTATATTTTGATGATTTCCCTCTCTTCCAATACCGTGTACAAAAATCCCTCAAGTTTGGCCCCCCCAAAAAAAATTTGGTTCCAGATCTGCCTCTTGACGGAAGTCACGTTTCATAGTCTTTGGCCGTCGCTGTTATTGCTGTTTCTGGCAAAATGCATCGGCTATTACCGGTAATGAAGGGCCATCTGCTGCACAATGCATGGGTGAGCTCGAATATAGCAATGTGGGGAAACGCCGTTAATGCGGTGGACGGCACCACGCCACTCAAGATCGTCCCCGGCGGTTACTTTATTTCCGGCTTGGTTTCTAAAGTAACCCCTGGAAAGGAAACTTTCTTCCTGTGTCATGATTCCAAGCAGCATCAGCGATGCAATGATTTATTTCGTGTACATGTATTTCATGTACAATTTCAACGAGTAGGACGGGTTTTCACGTTTGCTGTGAATTCTTTCATCCGCTTCTCCATTCAAACAATCCCCTTTTAGACATTTTGTTTACAATCATAAAAAATGACAATGAATATTGGTTATAAAGTTGAGAAATGTCGTGTCCCTGGTATCCCTTCTGATACCAGGGACGTTACGTACAAAAAAAAGTCTGGAATCGCATTGCTCTGGTATCGACTGAAGTCACTGGCAGCCATCTTACCATGCTGAATATAGTGATCGTGCCAATATAACAGTTGTTACCATGAACGATTGGTTAATGCTTTACGAGCAAGCCTTTGCAATTAACCTTTGTTTGGCACGCTAAGATGGCCGTCGATAGCGCCAATGACCTATACGCAGGCTGATTTAGCGTACTGCTAGTCCAGATTTTTTTCATATGACGTGCACGGATGGTAAAATTCGCCGCCGAATTGACTGTGTGTTAACACCTGACACTGCGTGCTGGAAAACCCGTTGATTTAAAGCACGGCCAAGCACCAGACGTATCCAAAGGTTTTGCATGTGAAAATGACCCATGATAAGAGCCAATGTAGTCTGGATACCAGACCCGATAATTCCAACTACTCTATGAATCAACGGTCAGGTATCACCCAATGTCCACGTGACCAAGACTGGAGGAATTCCTCCAGTTTCCGGAAATAGCCGCAATATTCCGAAGCCATCCCGTGATATTCGGCATGTTTGTATGGTACCGTTGACGTTCGGTTATTCCCGGCTGGATAGGTAGGCTAGCTGTGGAACGTAAACTCCCGTGTCCTCGTGACAGCTGTTGTACTTGACAGTACTTGACTACACTGAAATTGAAGGTTGACGACGACTGGCAAATGCCCAAACATAGGCTTACAAGGGTGCACCACCGTAATGATATCGAAATATCCCGCCTCTCAACTTGTGACCCCTGACCCTGGCGTCATATCTATTTATACCCGTTGGTAATGCCACACCTAAGATTTTTCCAGGAGTCGCCAGGGCTTATTTGGGCAGGGAACCATAATAGAGCCAATGATGATGAGCCATTGGGAAGCCGTGGGGACGCACTGCTCAACACAATGGGTACAAGGTTGCCACACCATTGATCTCTGTGGTGCGCACAAGTACTGTGAGTTGCATGTCACGTTTGAGGCATCTGGCTAAAAAAATGTAATAATCTCCATGGATTATGGAACTTATACGCGGGCGTTCCAAACAAACTCGCATATGAAGGTATTGGGCAGGTTCAGAGCCACGTACAGTGATAGCTTACGATAAAGCTTCAGCTACAGGGTAAGGGGTGTAGTGAAGTCGATTGAAACGCAATTAAATCTAGCTCCTTTCCCCTCCATTCACCGATAGGCTAATTGAAAAACCAATGGGGCCGATTGCCACATCTTACCATAGACGCTAAGACTATATTACTCAGCCGTCTACGCGCAGGTTGGCTCCCAAGGGGGACCATTTTGCAATTTCGTGCTCTGTCGAGTCGTCTACATTGCACGCCGCCACCTGGCATTGGGGAAAACTAGAAAGCCTAGTTTTTGTCATTAAAGTGGTATTTAGTCCTTTGGAATTAATCGGCATAAATTCTTTGAGAACTGGTCGAAATAATGCACGTGTAGTATGCATGTTGCTTTATTGTGTCAACGCGTGCATGTTTCTTTTTTACAATTAATAAGACAACCACGGCCTGTTGGAGGTGAGCCCAGTCGTGTGTATAATGGCTGTCCTGCAATAATGTGTTATTCGCTCGGTTTGTCAGTAATGCGAGAAGGATACGCTGAAAAATGCAGGGATCATCGGATCCCAAAAGGGTGTACTGTTTAGCTAAAGCGGCACCCAGATGAGTACAGAAGTTGGTTTTAAAAAGCGACTGGGGCCCAACTGCTTGGGTTATTTCATTTTGTTGTTACGGTATCAATTGAATGGAAAACATGAAGAAGGAATAGCTCATTTGTCTTTGCGCAGTCACATTGATAAGAAATTTGAAATTACTGAATATACGTGACTTATAGGTATCAACATTGCTTACGCCAGTGGAATAAATTAAAGCTAGAGTATCTTCAATCGGTTGAAGTGTGCACATTTAAAGGCTGGTATATATTAACCCAAACTGTGTCTATTGAAACAATACTTAATTCTGTCAAATTCATTGTTTCAATACGTCAGTTAAGCTTCATACGCAATATCTTTCACTTTCTCTCCGTGTAAATATAGCATATTAACGAGCAGTCATTTACTGACCGAATACTTCGGGTGTTGATTCAACACTTTGGTTCTTAAGCACCCGACATTGCTCGTTTATTGATCTGGTTGTCGAGGGAAAGTGGTGTGTTAGACTGTGCCTGACGTTCTGGTGCGATGGAATATTCACAGTGTGGCAGAGGGTCTTCTGTGATGTTCATTGTGTCCTCGAAATCTCAGGAATTCTTTTGTAAAGACTTGTGTGTTCGGGTACTTAGGTACTCGCGCAAATCGTGCATAGTATATCGAGAAGATGATTAAAAATACCCACTTCCACTGACTTAAGAACAATAAACATTCACGTGTATTTGCCCCGAGAATCGTGCGAAGAAGGCGTCTTTAAAATAAAATAGATTTCCGCAGGCTCATTTAGAGCGTCCAAATGTTAAAATATTATATAATGACTTTATAGCCAATTTAGTCTAACAAGAATTTCTTCAGACATCATCCCGGCTGTTACGAAAGGGTAATATTCCTCTCAAGATGACGGCCTATCTTGGAGGGGGAGGGGTTGTATTGAGATTAAAGTAACTTGAAACGTGGATACATTCTAAGGTTTATCAACCAAGGGATAGTGTAGCTGACATATTAAGCTGGACAAGGACTTTTGTGTATATTACCACGTGGTCTTTTGTAAACATCGCATTATGGAATTCCCTGTGTAAAGTCAGTTTTGCCGCCCCTCTACGTTCTTATATTCGAAAAATTGTGAAGTATGCATAACGACATAAACCGCACACTCCAAGGTAATTGTAATTTGAACTCTCGTCTACTTTACGTGCTTTTGTACAAAATGAGTCAGAACAATTTTTCTGTCCTTTTCTGGAACACATCTACATAGTTGGATGTCGTATCTCGACACCATTTCATGTAAAGAGTAGCATAAAAGACAGCACCGATAGTCTGATATATATTGTAATTTAGCACACATAGCGTATTCAGAAATTCACAATCAGCCTGTAAAGGTTCTATTTTTCAAGTTTTCATATTGTCTTCTGTCATTCTATGCCGCCTTGTTTCTTATAAGGAAATTACTACCGCTGCGCCGTCAGCGGCTTTTCTCTGATCACACACCATCTCCAAGGAAACCTGATGCGCTCAACAATAAGTACGTGCTGGCATGATACTGCCATCGCGCCAGCTGGTGTTGAGTGCACCAATTTTGCTCTTTTGTGGTGGAGCCGCTACGTCACGACTGAGTGAATGCAATATGTGGTACCCCCATGTCAAATTCCCTGTAATTAGCTTTGGGGTACAACCATCGTGTAGAGTTATCGAAATAGCGACGTGTGTGTTATAGTAGAGAGTCGTCTGCCTTTCGCATAGCAGGCAGAATATTATGAATGCGAAGTATTATTATATTAAGCTCTTATTGTAAAGAAAGTAACGGAATATGAAGATCTTCATAAATAATTATAAAAATGAACTATTATATAAAAACATTCCATGTGTATTTGCTTGTTAAATTATTATGGATGGTTTAGTGCAGTAATCCTCATGGCCATTTTGTTCTTCCTGCAAACCAAAGATGTTGGAAAATGGCTTTTGGGGTATTTAAATGTGGCTTGTCCTGGAAACTCGGATTCAATAAGAATTTGATAGGGACACAAATATTTATTTTTCACATGAAAAGTTGCTGGCACTCGGTAAACATATGATTGATCTGCTGGCTGTTTTAGAATGTTTCAGACCATTTTTAAGTTAAATGTATATTAGCATAACATCCTCAGCAAAAATTATCTGTGTTTGTCACCAAAATTGATGAAATTAGTTTTGTGTCCGTTTGACACGTGAAACCAATTTTTCTTTGAAATAAAAATAGGGGACAAACATCAAAAGGCTCCAGAGAGCTTGGCATAACTTTTAACTCACAGCTCTTTTGGAGCAAAGGCTCGGCCGCTCAAGGCCACACACAAGGGAGGATACAGTTAGGGTGCATAAATATACACAGGCACACCATTAAATATTTTATATGATCCCCCAAGTGCAGATTCAGATCCAAATTGTTGGCTTGGCAGGGCGTACAACTTTTTTGGGAGGTGCAAAAAGTTTAGATTTTTTTCACCTACCTACCAGTAACCTTTATGGCTTTTTTTGGCAGAGAGGATATATTTTGGGGCAGCCGCTTTTTTTTTACACACTTCAGGAAGAAAGAGAATCACAGAGCAAAGAAAATCGTCTTTCTCTCATTTTTTCAAATAAAAAGGCTCTTTTTCTGGGGATACTCCCTTTTCTGCCCCCCATACGCCCTTGTGATCCCCTTCTTGTATGTCCTAATTTTATTATTCAAAGAAGAGTCATCTCTGAATGGGATAAAGGTGCATCCTTTTGCGCTGGAAAAGACGTTTGAAGATTCATTTATGTGTTCAGTGTTTCGTGTGCACCTCAGTTCATCACCATTTGTACCCCGTTCGGACTCAGTCTGGCAAACCGTACTCGCTCCAGACCAAAATTGCATTGAGAGGAACCCCAGAGCTGATCCAAATATAGTATGATCTTGAATAGGCATGTGTACTTCAGTCAAGCTGCGCGCAGAACGGGAGATAAACGTATGCATTCACAACCGGTTGGATTCTTGATCGGTCATAACTCGGTACAGCTTTTGTAAACATGATGGACATGACACGAATATGGAAGCTGGCGAGCAACACTAAAGCTAGACACAATCCGCAATTCACAGGATGGCGTGTACAATCCATATGTTACGGATAATTTTTCTAATGGCATGCTGACATTAAATAAAAATGTAACCTGGGAAGCAAAGGTCAGGTCATATTAATGAAACATTGTAATAATGATAATAGTTATTAGTGCCGAAAAACTGCCGGAAAAAGCCATACCGTTTTCCTATAATGGCGTAAGTGAAATAATTCATGCACTGTCTCATCAACGGTCTTACAGTTTCGCTTGCGGGTTTCCGTGTTCCTTTCTGTCTTTCATATTTATTTTGGTTCAGTAAGACTCTCATGTGCGAGTCTGAACCCGGTGTTAGACCCCTGGGATCAAGCAGAGTTTCTAATCTGAAGAAAGCTGCATGGGTATTCGATGGTGCAAGCTTAAACTAAACTCAGGCGCATGAGTGAAACAAAAGCACTTTTGGTGAAACTGGGATTTTTAGGTTGGTGTTAGGTTTTCTGAAGCAGATTTGACTGCCAAACGTTCAAAGAAATTTTGTGCAAAACGCTTAAGCCCTCAAAATTCGTTAGACCCTGACCTTCAAAGCCAAGGCGCCAAATCCATCCTCAAAGCAGCCTCGAGACCTAGACTAGTCAAGGAACTACATCACTGAGTCTTGCACTTTTCAGGCTCAAAAGGTGCTCAGCAGTATCATGAAATGTCCAGTTGCTTTGAAAAGGGGAGACCGGTCGAAACCATTTTTGGAGTATCTAATACATCCCTAATTTTGCCTAAATCTGGTTGATAGGCCTAAGTATAGTTTTGCTGATAAACAAATGTTGAACACGTGTAACATCTGAGCATGCGCATGCCCGTGTCAATGATTATTTTGTGCCACATCACAGCCATGTGGTAAAAATAATGCTCACGACAACAGAGTGAAAAAATTTAGAGTGTTAAATCAAGCCCGCACTTTTCCTATCTCTTCACGGATTGCAAACTCAGCACGCGACATGCTGGTAATCAAAAAAGATGAATTGTAGACAACAGAAGTAGTCTACCACTTTTAAAAGCTTAATAAAGCCTTGACAATGTGTGGAAAATAATTGCCGTCGGTAATTAGGCTCCATTAAGTGGATATGGAGGGTTGATATCGGCCTGTCTGAAGAGGAAACACGTTCTGCTTTGAGAAACAAAATCGTAAGGGTCGTTTTCCTAAATTGGTTTCCCAAATGAAAATTTACAATGCGGTAATGCTTAATGCTGGCTTTAAAAACCGTGCAAGCCTCAATCGCGTTCAAAATATCGTTAAGATGTGATATTGGCAGTGCAAATTTCCAAGTCATTCTAGACGATATTTTCGGTGACTATCTGTATGGAGGCTAGCGAATTTCTAGGAAAACGTTTTTCCTTCTTCGGGCAAACTTCAACAGCTCCTCTCCATGATGTGCTTTTAAAGTTGACTGAATGACTTGAATAATGCAATGCAAATTGTACTCAGTCGTACTTCTTTTCCATTTCGCTGTAAATGTTTAAAAATTCTCCCTGCTACTGGACCTGCACGCGGCGCTTTCTGACAGACCGCGTGCACGGTATAAATTGCAACGGCATCAAACCACGTTTGTGAGGGCATCACGCATCCCGGGAAAGTGTCAATTTATGTGGATTAGTCTCATGCAGTATTCATTGGTGGAGCCTCTCGAGGTGCTATGTTGGACGAGGTATGATAATGAAGTTTAAAGGGTTGTATAAAATACAGTGAGCCCCTGCCCGCGACATAGGCTAAGGCTTGAAAAGGGTAAGACCTTCAAGGGGGGGATGTGAAATATCCTGCGCTGGATTCCTTTGCTTATCATAAAGAATGCATATGGCATTTGACTGTAACAACAATCATCGCGAGTTTTCCCCGTCAACCATCGCAGGTTTTGGAAGGATCAAGAAATGAACTAACACAACATTCAAAGGACGGTATGACCCCCCCCCGAACTCCAAAACTCATACTGAATATTGAAACGAAAAACACACAGAAATACTATTAATCTCCGCTTCTTGTTATTATTATTTATTTGACCATGCAAATGCAAAGAAAAACAACTCCAAAACATAAAACAAAACAAAACAAAATTAGAAAAAAGCAAAAACGAGTATGGTCAAACTAAATTAAGAAAATCACGTGAAATAGAAGAGGAACTGGGATCACCAGGGATAAATAAAATAAATTAAAATATGACAAATACACGACAGGGACACAAAATGAGGACGTAAGAATGGACGATATTTGGGTCAGGACCTACAAAAGTAAAATTAACTACTGTTTCCGGCAGGTATGTAGGCCCCTGCAGGTGTAGGCCAAAACTTGCAGGGCCTACATACCTGCGGTAACAGTTGCTGGAGAATGATTGAAAAGAAAACAATACAGAAGTAGGGAAGAAAGTTTTTTTCACGCTTGATTCTGATTCTTAATTTTCTCCTGAGACCAAAAATGTTTTAAAATCACTCTGTTTATGCTATTTTCGCAGACCATAAAAACACAATCCATGCCCCCCCAAGTCTCCGGTTTCTGGTCAGCGCGGGCCCCCCCATAGACCTGCCAAATAAAAGTTTTTTATTTGGTATTATACGATATCCAAAAGCTGCCAAACTTCCTTGATCGACTGGAATCCTGCTACTGCGTATTTTAACGTGTTTTAGATGGGGTACGGTTGAGTAATAGGTACAGTAAAGGAGTCCTTCTAGGCCCCCATACATTTTTAGTCGGGCACCCTTTTTCAGATGACGTCATTTCTGTATCATACATTTACATCTGAGAACGAGGTGGTCTTATGTCTTTTATACATCTGCAAGTTGAAAACGCTTTTAAACAGTAAAAAGTGAGGGGCCACGAGGGGTCCATTTCCATGTTGGTACCCGGTAGTCCACACTGGACCACGAGAGTGCACAATTTTCCAAGCAACGCAGGCTCCCTTGGTAGGAACTGCACTTCGCTGGTTCACGAATAACTATGAAACGTATTATAGAGTCCATCATTACCAACAACACGAGCATTCCCGATCCTTGTAGGCTCTTTTCCACCGATGACGGGTGGTTCAGCTCGAAACGAATAATGATAATGTCATGTTCTATTTTTTTGAGAAAGGGAAAAATAATAACAGATACAAGTTTTTGGGGAGTCTGTTGCGCCTAATGAACAAATTGTGGGTTCCTGGAACATCGTCATCAGTGCAGTGTCCTCCTCACATAAATGCAGGCTAACACCGGCAAATATCCCTTTCGTAAAATGAAGAAATACTGCACGCCCTCCCATTTGTCGTAATTGTACAGAGATGTCACTTTAATCATACCTGCACACAGTTTAAAGTGACACATCTTTTTGTAAAACGGAGGTTGGCGCTCAGTTCCTTTGGGATCATCGTTTCATGGATTTTTTTTGGCGGAACGAAATGACATTGTATTAATTTTTTTTACCGAAACTTGGCAGCTTAATTTGCTCCGCCCAGTAACACCACGTACCACTGATGACAATGCAGGGACAGATGGGCACCAAAGGCTTCTTGTCAGTATTAATGAAAAAGCCTATTCATCATTGCTTGGCAGTAGGCCTTGATCTGCAAAAATATACTTGCTTGTCAACGGCGATAAAGAAATGTCAACCATAACAATGTTCTCTCACGAAACCACATTGTCATTGATAGAGGCGTTAAAATGACAAAAAGCTTTGTGCTATTTTAGGCGTCACCGCAGTTTATCATTTAGAATCCCCATAAACCGAGAACAAAGAGGGAAAAAAAGAAGAAAAAAAGGTGAATAAAAAACAAAACATGGAAAAGACAGGTTTTTGATATTGAGTGCAGCTAGAAAAGTTACACAAGCCCGTCACTGCTCGCAGTGAAATGCGCAGTCCAAGATAACAAATTGTACCTTGACGTTGCTTGCTTATTGTGTGATATTAGACTGCATGATTTTCTTGCGAGTGAGCCAACTTACTCCCTTTTTTGGTTTGAATAACGTGCAAAAATAGCTGGAGAAAATATTTCATGCGTTTGTGTCCTCGGCAGCGGCTTAAAACTAAGGGGGCATGAGGGTACCTCCGGTCGACGACTATGACCGTTTTCCAATGCTCAACTTCGGCTCCGTCTCAGGCTTCAACTGTTTTTTGTACTAGCTGGCTTTGAAGCTGTAAGCGTAGTAATCAGTCTAATAGTGCCACAAAACATCAAATAAGATGCAAGAATGCCAAAAATTACAGTAATCTAATGTAATTCAAACACTTCGGGCCCACAATCGGGGACTGGTTTTTAGAACGAAGCCTGAGACGGAGACAAAGTTATTGGACAAAGAGTATTGGAAAACGGCCTATATATGCCAGATGATATCCGCCATTATGAGAACGAGGTAGATCAGATCCTAACGTGCCCCATCTAGGAAAATGAGGGGCCCCTAAGTGCCACACCGTGAAAAATGTACCCCAGTTACGCCACTGGTTCTTAGGACTATGGAGGGTAAATGTATAAGGACATTGCTAGCCGCCTGAGCGGCCGTACTGGGCCAACCCGTACGCCGGCCATTAGTGTCCGCAGCGGCATTCGGAAAATAGTACATGTAAAACAAAAATTAATGGAAGTTGATTGAGGGCGCTCCCACTTGAAGATGACGTAAAAGTTTTCCACTGGGCGCTAGATAGAGTGCGCAGACGTAGACGACAACTTTGGCTCAGAAACTAACTTGGAATTTTCTCTTCGCGCCTTAGCTCAGATGTACGTTAACATGTAACAGTTAAGTAAGGGGTAAGTTGCATTTTATATGAAATTATCCAGTGAATAATTAGGGATATAAAATATGAGTCGTTTTCTGAAAAGCACGAGCGTTTTTCAGCAAAACCGTGTGGGTCTTCCTGTACGCAGGCCTGACCGTTAAAGCCTAACGTTAGGTAGTAAAAAGGCTCAGGCTTTCCAGGCCTGTGCAACATGCGCCTACTTTGTAGGCCTATTTTGAGACTAGGCCTAGGCACACTAACGTTAATTTGTATTCTACGCTGCATACAAGGTAGACTAGACCCACAGACTGGGGCATTGAAACACTCTTTTTCCGAATTTTGGACATAAGTACGACCCATCAAATCCGAAATTCGAATAAGAAGGAGAACTAATGCCTCATCAGTTAGCATGGTTAGTGGGTCTAAAGGTCGATGACAAGTTTGCGCATCTTAAAATTGATTCCAAGCTTTGCCCACAGGCGGCCTAGTGCTTTTCAATCAACATGGCTGCTATGAAGAAGAATGCACGATGTGGTTTATATCACTCCCAAATAAAGCTGATGTTAAGCCCTTGGCCTTGGGAGATTTGGGGCCAGGATGGGGGGAAAACAGTATGCTTTACCTATCTCCATGATTGTTTTGCTTGAAACTGTGGTGGAATGCAGAATATATGAGGCCCCTATGCAGTTTTGTAGAAACTTGGCAGCCATGTGTTGAGTGTCTTAATAATACTATGTGGTAACATAAATAAAAATTAAATACTGCACACTGTGTAGAAAAAAAAACAGGCATTGAGCCGGTGTTAACCATTAAATTTGACATTGATAGGAACTTGTAATTCTGCAATATTGTTGATCTAGTATTCATAAAGCCTCTTACCCATTCATGAACAAAGGACTAAAGTAACTAGAGCTTGATATTCAACAGTGGCAGGCTATACCCGGGTGGGTTTGTATGTAGGGCCTTTATGTCAACAAAATACAGGTACCTTTACCCACTTAAAAATACCACATAATATAAATCAGAATTTTGATACAGCATGGTAAAGCAGTCACTAGATGTTCAGTCTGAATATTTTGTTTGTTTTGATTTTCCTGTAACTTTTTCCAGAGGTAACGCGGAACACTATGAATCCAGAAACAGATGTGCCATTTATGAGGTAAGATATTGGCATACTTCACGTAAGCCAACGCAGGAGAGCACTCTCTATTTACTTGGTTATGAACATGGCATGAACTTTGGCATGGTCAAGGGCTGAAAAAAATGGAATTTAGTTACCATAATATTTTCACATGTGTGATAAACTATTTAGGGTCATGGGATAAAAAATATATCTAGTCATACTTGTTAAGTGATATGTGGTTTCCAGTTAACTGGAAAGACTGCATGAGGGAAACCAACATATCAAATTAATCTCGAAATTTAAGAAAAATAAAAGAGGCATTTTTCTTTTGTAAATTGTGCTCTTCAGAGTCAGGGTGTTCGTAATCTAAGAAATCGAAAAAGCTGGTGTTGAGTATGGCAGCCAAAGGATACACTAACCCTAATTACCCTCTAGGGTGGATGTAACCTTATATTCATATTGCAGGATTGAGGAGTGTTTAGTTGGGTTAAACAAGATTCCATTATTATTCCATAGCTCACCACTTGCAACAATTTAATTAAACTGTAGTCAAGAAGGCCAGCTGTGGTGATACTTATGTTGAGAATGAGAAACATGAAATTATTTGAATAAGAATTAATTCAAAGGAGACAAAAGCAAAATGAGACATGTGTATTTTCCTCATACGATCTCCCCCTTTGTTTCATAAAATCAAAATGAATTCTTCCCAGGACCTGCTCCATGGTTTGACCATTTAGTCCGAAATTCAATTCGCTGGAAAAAATGATATAGAAAAAGAACAACTTGGAGACGGCCTTTGAGATGTGTGTGTACAATGTAGACTACTTACATGTAGTAAGTATGCTACTAATATTAGATGGGTACTGTAATTTCTCAGAGGTGTACTTAAGACATTCTGATGTGCAGGTTCCACATGTATTGGATTGAAATCCTTAATTGCACAAGAGGCAATGTAAATCAGTAAGGCTATCCTTTACAAGTGGTATCCAGGATATTAAATCAGGGGTGTTTTAGGCTTTTTTTAAAAACAAAACATTACCTGGGATCTCATGAAAAAATCATAAAAATACAGTTTTGATTTGCCTCATCAAACTAATATTTTCTTATTCCACATAGACTACTCATACATGTATTTACCGGTACATGTGTTAAATCACGCCAAAGAAATGCCCACCAATTTTGTTTACTTAAATGCTACCTTTTTATTCATAACTGACTCTCCTCCGCATTAAGAAAAGGTCCAGTGAGCAATGGGTTCCCCTGCTTTGACAATCACTTGATTGTCTTGTGTCATTAGCAATATTATTCAGTAGTCTAGGAGTACATCTTTCCAAGGAAGCAGGGTTTAACTGAGCATCATCAATTGTTTAACGGAGCCAGGGGCTTCAAAACTAGTGAGCGTCTCTTACTGGACACTGACTGAGTTTTGACAAAAGGGGCTCTTCAAGCACAAGAATTTTTCAAAAGCAAACCCTGCCAACAGTCAACTTTTCAGGACAATCTTTCAGGCTCACAAGCTACATGTATTCATTCTGTCCTAAATGATGAAGGTTAATACATGTGGCTCCCTCATCACATGTGATTGTTGTCAGATGGGCACATCCTGGTAGCAGACATATCAGCAAAGTACATGTGATTTGGATGTTTCATCAGATTTGACTAAAACAGGCATGGTGCATTGCATACGGGTAATTCAAAAAATCAGGGGTGCATTTTTGTGTGTGTCCCTGTCACATCTGACAAAGGATTTTGTACAATTGGAACAAATTTTCTAATTTCCGAGACTGATAAATTAATGCAAATTACCTGCCAAACAAATAGTAATAGTTTGAAATTACTTCTGGTTATATCTCCATGTCAAATAACGATGGCCAGATGTAACAGGGACACAAAAATGTCACACCTTTTGACCCCTAATTTGTAAAATTACCCGTATCTTATTGTGGAGGGTCAAATTTTCACAAAATATAAAAGTCGCATACATGTACATGTATGGAGCCTCCTTTGATTTAAACCATTAGGCTCTGACCAACAGTTGTACCGGTAAAATGTTCATAATCTGATGGCTTAATGTACCTCAAAGGTCCTCTTGTTCTCCCTTGATGAGGGGAATTCAAAACCAAGGAGAAAGACATGTGTAAAGTTCTGAAGGCGCCGCTGACTGTGGATTTGACAGCACTTATCCCCCGCCCACCTGCTCAGTTAAAATGGAGATATGTATAATTCCCATAACCCACCCCCCCTTTTCCTAGGGCTATTTTTCACTACATGTATTTTATTCAAAGTATACTAATTTGCTCATCAGTCGGGGACAACAACCTTGATTTTTTAGGAGCTCAGGGGACAGACCATCACACTTTATTCAGTCTCATGACATGTTACATCCATGGTATACAGGAGTTTGGCAGTGTCCTATGGAGACCCATGAGTACCCCAAGACAGACCCCCTTTTGGGATGTAGCGTACGATGTCGGGGACTGTTGTGGCTACTTTTATTAAAAACACTGTGTCAGTTAACAGTTATGGATTACATGTAAATCACCTAATTTAATTTCCACAAAATTGATCTTTTCAAAAGACCTTTAAAGATTTGCTAATGATTTAATCATGTCACCTGTAGCATTAACTTTCACTTCAGTGCGAGTAGTGGAACTGTTGAAGCCGAAAGGAAAGCTTTTTTTGTACATCATTTAGGATTTCAGCTACTGTTAGGAGAAGCAGTCCGCAAGAGTCCTACAGTCCTCCAGGGTCAAGCAGTGGGTCAAGTTTTGCTGATCTTCTGTCCGGTGGTCCATTTGCAGATGAACCATGGTGTTCCTTCGAACTTGGGTGAGATTTAAATCTAGGCCCCCTATGATAATACCTCACTTAGATTTGGCTTTCAGTGTGATGTTGGTGGCTACGAGTAGCCTGTCACATGCTTTCATGATGTCGACTGAAAGGCTGTGTTTGCCACCCATCGTTTCCAGTTATGTCATACAGTTCTTGAAAGTTGGGGAGGAATCATACTGAAAGTCCGCATCTTCAAAATATTCCTGCACACAAAGTTTACCTCAGAATTAGCATGACTTCGGAATTTTTTCCACATTTGAAAGACTTTGAACAAACAGTTGCATGCATGTGCTTTGCTCTGGCCTTCTTGTGGGGGCCTTTGGCCAGGTCCTGAGAAATATGTGTGTACTGTAATTTGCTTTGGTAGTTTTCCAGTTCTACATCTATCCTTGTCATTTGAAACTTTCAAACAGCATGCCTATTTTAAAATTGCTTGCTGTTTTTAGGTATTGTGCAATATTGTTGCTGCATTAACGCATTGGGGTTAGTTTTGACCAAATTTGGCTTTAACAAACTCTCTCAGTCAAGACACCTATTCACACATTTCCTATATCAAACATGAGACTTTCCTGTTTTTGAACAGATCCCATTTGTCAGAGGATTCATCCAGCACCATGGACAGAAAGCTTGCTGTGGTAAAATTGTTTTTGAGCATTTCAATCCGTCCTTCATGTTCCTGACTCTCCTGAGAACCTTATGTCTTTTTAATTTGTTAAGCCATAGAAATGGCAAGGTGTTTGCTTTTACTCAACACCACTTATAGCTGGGCCAGTGTTTCTTTGCTGCTGAAGATAGCATGTAGGGCTGTGATGTTTTTGGAGCATTCCATTCATTTTCGAATATCAAAAAATTTATTTTTGAAATTGAATATTTAGACGTGAAAATCAGTGAAATAAAAAGGGTACAGTTCAATTACTAGATTACAGAGTTGCATTCTGAGAGTAAATTCAAGATTTTTATGAGTAAACTTTGCAGCCTGATGATGCGTCTGCTCAACTGTCAGGTCACAGATAACTTTCCCTCGAAGTTGTTCTGTTTTCACTTTTTGTAACATCGAGCACAATTGTTTGCGTTTTAGTCGGAATTAACGGCAGGTACAACCAAATATTTGATGGAATGGAATATGAGGTGAATTATTCAGTTAATCCAATCCACTTGGCCTTGGCAGCGAGAACTAAAACCGAAAAAAAGACTAATGGAAGTCTCCTTTTTAACAACTGGAAAACCTCAGTACGTGCCAATATGTGTGCAGACGTATGGGGCTAAATAACTGTGCACTGAAACGAGCACCAAAAAAACACACTAAAGGAACTTTGAAATGTCACAGCTTACAGAGAATGAAGTCATGAGGAGCTCCAAGAGGCAATCCAATCAAGATTCCATCCGAGTGCAGAGGATGCGCTCAGACCTACCCGAGCCCAGGCAGTTGCGCACCAGACCCAAGAGAGGAAACAAGACCAAGGGCAAACGGCATGGGTGGGACATCAGCGAGCATATTGCCCAGCTGAAGCGAAAATGCTCCGACTTCAACTGGTTA